CCTCTATCTAATCTAACTTTCATCTAAAAAATTCTAGAAAATATAGTTGATGGTCAATTGTGTGATCATCTGCAAATAAATAATCTGTTTGAGGAGTTTCATTCAGGGTTTAAAGCTCACCACAGCGCTGAATCATAGTGAAAGTTAATAATATTCTCATGGCCTCTGACAATGAACAGGTGTCTACACTGGTCCTGTTAGACTTCAGTGCTGCATTTATATACAGTTGATCAAAATATTCTACTACAGAGACTTTAATATGTTATTGGAATTACGGGAACTGCTCTAAATTGGTTTAAATCACATTTATTATTCCAATTTGTAAATGTAAATAATGAATCATCATCATACACCAAAGTTAGTCATGGAGTTTGTCAGCTTTCAGTGCTTGGATCAATACTCTTTACTTTATATATGCTTACGTTAGGTAAAGTTATTAAACAGCAAGGGAGAGATATTCATTGTTATGCTGATGATACACAAATATACTTGTTCATGAATCCAGTCAGCTACTTAGATTACAAGCATGTCTTGAAGACATTAAAACATGGATGACCCTAATTTTTCTGCTTTTAAACTCAAACAATACAGAGGTTCTTGTTTTTGGACATGAGCATTTTAGGAATAAACTTTGAAGTATTTCACTTCCTCTGGATGGCACAAATTTAGCCTCCAGTTCTAATGTTAAAAATCTTGGTGTTATTTTTGATCAGTACATGTACTTTAACTGCTACATTAAAATGCTACTAGAACTGCTTTCTTCCATCTGTGTAATATCACTAAAATTAGAAATATCTTATTAAAAAAGTATGCAGAAAAACTGGTTCATGCATTTGTCATGTCTAGACTGGACTATAGTTTGTTGTCTAGATGTCCAAAGACTCATTTAAAAAGTCTTCATTTGATCCAAAATGCTGCTGTCGGAGTTTTAATAGGAGAGCATATCTCTCCAGTTTTAGCTTCTCTCCATTGGCTCCCTGTCAAAATCAGAATATAATTCGAAATCTACAAAGCCCTCAACAACCTAGCTCCATCTTATATTAGAGATTGTATTGTTCCCTATTTTCCTAATAGAGTACTTTGCTCTCAGACTGCAGGTTTATATGTGATTCCTAGAGTTTGGAAAAGTAGAATGCATGGCAGCAGGAAGTTTATCCTGCACAATGGTGCAGCAGGTGCTAAATAATTTACAATAGTTTATTTTAAATAAAAATTCCATGCCAATCGTGTGGCTCATCCATCAATTAGCCAATTGTGTGTCATGTCCAATCTTATTTGGAAAAACCGTGATAGAGCGAGTCCACGATAAACGAACCACAAAGTAGTGAGGGACTACTGTATTCCTGTCAAAAGACATTGTGCAAAATCTTGGTATTTGGCTGTAGCTCAGATGCATTCAGAACACAGAGTGCTACTCAGTGCATGAGATTGTTGCTTAAAACTGTAAATGTTTGTACCTATTTTGTTTGTTTGTTAACAAAATATCAAATGAACCACTCTACAGATTTCAATGAATCTGCCAGAAAGTACAGTAACTGTGGGCACGTCTACAGCCGATTAATTTAGTAGTCAATCCAATTCAAGACGACTGCCATAGTTAATCCACATTAGCAAACACAAAAATGGCTACCACCCAGGCCAATGTACAGATACTGAACTAAAATGTGATGTGATCGTAGCTGAGAATCATTTTCAAAGCATCTCGCATAAAATCAGTAATATCCAGGTTTAATAAGAAAAGGAAAAAATCAGTTTAAACCTAACATGACAGGTGGCCAACAATATGCAGTCCTTCAAGGAATGCTAAGCCTTTATTTGGTTATGTAATAAAAAAATATGTGTATGCCATATTTCCATACCCTAGCACAGGACATATTATTCTACATTTGCTTATACTCACATAAATCTACTAGAGATGTATTTTCATCCATTCTTAGGCTGAACTGAGTGCAGAGACCCATTTCCAGACAAACATTTACTGCATTAAGGAGCAAGATCAACAGAGTTAGTTTTCCAGACTTCCAGATGAAAGAGGGAATGATTATGATTGCTTAATCATTTGGCCCAAGGGTGTCACATAGTGATCATTTACATAGCATAATTAATATAAGATTAATTGCTTTTTGCACACTCCAGTCAAGGTTAGTGTTATTTAATAATTTATAATGGAGAGCACTCTACTTCAGTTGTTCCAGTTTCTCATAAGACCCTCGTATCGGTCTGCACATTTTAAAAACGTCTGCACGCCAAGAGCTCAACACCTCATTTTGCTGATGTTGCATGCATAAATGGAGCCAACGTGACGAAGAGTGAAATCTACAACCAGTCAGACTGTTTTCTGTGTATTCGCTTCATCACGAAAATCACAGAGGAAGTTTCAACCTTTTACTTAGTGACTGAAAGTGGAGAAGAGAATGCTTACAGAAGATTTACCGACTAGTCCCTCATCTTCAGTGGAAACCCGATCTATCAGGGGATCCATGCTGGATAGACAGCATTTCATACCAAAGACATTTTGATAGGCTGTCATGACATGGCCCATTTGGAGTGGCCTTTCTTAATGGGCTGAGGCACTGCAATGTATCTTTTATGAGCCATGGTCTCCTTTAAAAACGTGTGCACCTTCCAAGAAGTCTGTATGCCATTTGTTAGTTATAAAACAGTTCTAAAAGATGTATGAAAAAAGGAGCTGGTGAACTTAAGCAGTTGGAAGAAAAAAATCTTACCTCGGGTAAAACAAAACAAACAACAACAACAAAAAAAAGCCACGGTCTGAGTGATGAAGACAGCTTCATTCTGGTCTTCTTGTTTGCAATTTGAATGTATTGTTTATCACAATCTAATCAGACTGCAGATGGTCTGATGAGAAGTCAATGAAAGAAGTTGGGTCTCTGATGCCACACTGTCTTATTAGTTGACATAGTCACAGTTAAAATCTTAGAAGTGTTGGAGTTTCATTTGAAGATGGAGACTCATATTTAATCCTTCCATAATTATAATTAACATCAAATTAACACGACTTGTCATCTTTAGAACTTAACAGCTTTCTCCTCCCCGGGTAAATAAATACTCAGCACAGTCCAGTTGGTTTCAAACTTTTGAAGTTATTATTTTTCATGTACAGTTTAGCTACACTTTTATTGTGAAGTAAAAAATTTTCCTCAGACTTAAATCACTCTACATCTCCACATTGATGAAACGCAAAAATTAATTGCAAAAGGCTTTAAAAGCTTTTTAATATAAAAATACAGTTCATCAGTGCAAGCAAGAACAAAAACAAAAATCTCCATCGTATTATGCTGTAAATCTCTAGATTGTACCCTGATGCATGCTCAATAATCCATCCATCCATCCATCCATCCATCCATCCATCCATCCATCCATCCATCCATCCATCTATCCATCTATCCAGCCATCCATCCATTAACTTTATCCATTTCTTCCTTTATGGATTGTGGGGGTCACTGGTGCTCATGTCCAGCAGTCATTGTGTGAGAGGTGGGGGACACCTTGGACAGGTCTCCAGTCCATCACAGGGACACATAGAGACAAACGAGACAAACAACCATTCAAAGTTAACATACTACGAAATGTTCAGGATGAGAAGAACCGATTTGACTCGCTAAAAAAAACAAAGAACAAACAAACAAGAAATACTAAATCATGCAATAAGGGTACAAAAATAAAGTACCAAAAAGTGAAAAAGTAATGATAATATTTATAATGTCTTAAAGAGCGATAGTAAACAACAAGATGGTAGATTATAACGGTTCAAGTAGGATGAATTTGAATGAATAAGTATTTCAGTGTAGTAATATTAGCTAAAATACACATGATATAATTTGTATATTGCACATAACTAACATAAACTGCACAGGTTGTGTGACAGGTTATTGCACAGGCAGTGAGTGACGATGAGATTGAATTATGATGTTATCAACATAGATACATAGATACTGTATCATAAACGATACAGCCACATGGTGCAGCATCAATAAACAATAAACATATTAGCTGTCACAAGCTAATATTCGTCATATTAGTTGTCACAAATGTGTCTTGGTGCAGTGTTATTGCCAGTTGTTCAGTGTTATTTATTGAGAGTTTAGTAATCTGGCATCTTGTGGATATAAAACTGTCCTTTAGTCATTTTGTACACGAGGGCAGCCTCCTGTATCGTCTACCTGAGGGTAGTAGACTCTCACCTTGGGACAATTTAGAGTTACCAATCAGCCTAACACATATATTTTTGGTCAGTGGGAGGAAACCGGAGAAAACCCACACATGCACAGAGAGAACATGCAAACTCCACCCAGAATGGTGTCAGGCTGGGATTTGAACTGGCAACCTTCTCGCTGAGAGCGGTAACAGCTTTACCAACTGAGCTGCCCTGCTCAATAATCCAGGTAGAGCAATCTTAAAAGGTTAAGTCAGGTCCTCTATCCAACAAAGAAGGATCCATTCAGAGGACCTGACTTAGCCTTATTAGATCTAGACTGTACCCTGTAGAGGACAAAAATAATGAAGAAACACAGTCCATCCTCAGGTGTTAAAGTCTCATGTCCATCTATATGAGTCAGAAACTCTGCTGTCCATGTAATGCTACAGGAGGAGTCCTGTCAATAAATGTTGGGGCTTTTGAAGCTCTGATCTTTACGCTGTTAAAGTGAAGCCAACAAATGAGAGAGGCTGACTGATGCAACAGCGTGAAAACCTCTGTGAGCATTCCTGTCTCTCAAACCTACTCTTTCTACAGAAATTAGGTTTTACTAATAGAAATAGAGGCTCACTAGTTAAACAATTCCTAAACTAGTGCATAAATATATGCAAATTATAAGATAGATCTATTTATAAACGTGAGTCGAAACCTTTTTATTTCTTACGTTGTGCAACTGGAGTGATTTCTTTTCCAAGTTGTCCTCTAACTTGACTAAATAAACGCCTGCCGTTGCAGTGGCTGCTCATAAATTCATCTGTTTTTGCCTGGTGTGTGTTTCCAGTGGGACGCCATCACGGAGATGGACGAGCAGAACAGACCCATTCACACCTTCCAGGTTTGCCATGTCATGGAGCCGAACCAGAACAACTGGCTGAGGTCCGGCTGGATTCAGAGACAAGCTGCACAGCGGGTCTGAACATCATCACTCGTGCTGAGCCGTGTTCTCGTTCCCGAATCCTTGTCTGAAATCAGTTTTTTTATGAAGTTGTCTCAAAGTGGGGTTTGTTGCTGTGACATTTTCTCAACTTTGAGATAATTTCTCACTCCCTGGAGGGAATTCAGTCTCCAATATATATTTATCACAAGAGGAAAATAACAAGCAGATTTACTTTAGTGCATCTAAAGAAGCAGCTTCTTTCGACGGTTTCATTAAAATCAGTTTAGTGAAGCTTAGAATAGAAAGGGAGACAAATGTTTTTTCTTATATGTTGAAGTGCTTTTTGTTATGGTGACAGCTGCATCATAAAATGCAGAAAATGTGTTGAAATAAAAGCTTTTCTTTCTGTGTATTTGCAGAAATGTACTTCTCACCCAACAGTTTCACTGCACTAACTGCTATCCTAGTTGCACCCAGTCTATTTTATTTAGTATGAATAGATGTTTAAATGCTTGTACACAATATTTATGTGGGAAAGTTCAATCAGCATGCTCACAATTGTTTTTCAAATGTATTTTTCCGTATGTTTTTGGTAGCTCTGTGGTCACGCAGTGGTGCTGTTTCTTGAGGCTGCAGGTTTGAGCCCCAGGTTGTGTCAAGAAGGGCATCCGGTGTAAAACAATTGCAAAATTTTTCATGCAAATTTGCTCACTGTAGCAACTGGGCTGCTGTTGTTATGCCATATTGTTTTACATTATTAGTGTTCAGCATATATCTTAGATCTTTTAGCATATTGTTTAGTGTTTGTTTAATGTATATCTTAGTCTAGATCCTTGTTTAGTTTTTTTTTTTTTACTTTATATTTTAATATTTTTGGGTATAACAGAGACCCTGTGTACATAATTTTGTTCCACCTCATGTACCACGTGTGATGGATCGACAAGATACTTGAACTTCTACAGAAGAGAGCAGCCAAATGAAAAACTTTATTTTCCTGGGGCTGCAGTAGCTTGGTGGTCAGTGCAGCGGTGTTGTAATCCCAAGGTTGCAGGTTCAAGCCCAGGTTGCAGGAAGGCCATCCTGCGTAAAACAAATTGCCAAATCTTTCATGCGTAGTGACCCCTGAGGAAGGGAACAGCCGAAAGACACTTATCGCTGCAATCTCACTACTTCTACTTTGCTTTTTTTTAGCCATATATTGAAAATGTTCAGCTCAGTCAAGAGATGGGTACTATGACTTTAATTTTTGTGTACCTTTTATATTTAGCTTCTTTAGCTTCTGTACCATAACATTTAGTCTTTAGCTCGCATTTTGACACTTTTGGCTTGTACCTATTGTGGTACCTGTAGGTTCTGGTTAACCTTCTGCTATTTGTAGTTTTTAGTTACCATTTGAATACTTTTAGCTTTTGGTTACTTTTTGATACTTTTACGGTTTGATTAGCATTTTGCTACGTTTACCTTTAAGTTGAGCTTTTGTTACTTTTAGCTTTTGGTTCACCTTTAGTTATTTTTTTTAACTTCTAACAAAAAGTTCAATTATTTAGCTAGCCTTTTAATACTTACTGTTTTACTACATTTAGCTTTTAGCTAGCCCTTTTCCATATTTAGCTAAAGTTTTGATACTTTTAGCTAATACTTTACCTCTCTAGGCTTTCAGCTAGCCTTTAGCGTTTTATTTTTAGCTACTCCTTAGCTTTTGTTAATCAGTGTTTTACCTCTTTTAGCATTTAGCTAGTGTTCAGCTTCTTTGAACTTCAGCAATTCAGTTTTAACTTCTTCATCAATTTTTAAGCAATATTTTCATACAATAGGCAATTCCTCCAGTTTTGTTTAAAATTTAGAATTTCTGATGTATTTATGCCTCTGTCAAAAATCTCCTCAAACAAATTGAAACAAAGACTTAAACCAGGTCAGTTGTGGGGTAAAATGCAAAATGGTTAGCTTGTAAATGTATGTCTTTAAGAATCATAAAAGCTAATAAACGCATTAATCTTTTGTCTCAGGTGTACGTAGAGCTGCGTTTCACCCTGCGAGACTGTAACTCCATTCCATGGGTCTCTGGCACCTGCAAGGAAACATTCAACCTCTTTTACCTGCAGACAAACGAGCCCCTTCCTGCAACAACGCGGTTTCGGCCGTCCGACTACGCAAAGGTACAGTTCTGGATCAAGTTAAAGTTTTGCTGCGTCTTTAGTTATCCTTCAGTAGAAATGGACACAATATTGTTGGCTTCCAGGTGGACACCATAGCAGCAGACGAAAGCTTCACGCAGACGGATCTTGGAGATCGAGTTCTTCGCCTCAATACGGAGGTCAGGGAGGTGGGACCGGTGACGCAGAAAGGGTTCTACTTGGCTTTTCAAGATGTGGGAGCTTGTATTGCACTTGTGTCAGTCAAGGTCTGTAAACTGTACCACTTTATTGTTGTTTTCAAGAATTATTGTTGTAAAATTAAACGTTTTGTTTCCCGTCTTTCACATCAGGCGTTTTATAAACGCTGCCCATCAGCTTTAAGGAACCTTGCCGCGTTTCCTGAAACGGTGCCGCACATGGATTCGTCCTCACTGGTGGAGGTGAGAGGGGCGTGTGTGGAGAACGCAGAGGAGAGGGACACACCTAAACTGTACTGTGGTGCTGATGGTGACTGGCTGGTACCACTGGGTCGATGCATCTGTAGCATTGGCCACGAGGAGATGGATGGCCACTGCCGGGGTGAGAAATTGTACAGGTTTTTGTGTTTGTGCTCATTTTGGAGCAGTTTGTTCACAGTATATTAAACTGCAGACACTGAAATGGAACCAAACAAAAAGAAGAGATGGACTTGCATCACACTCTTGGATCTCTTGGGTCTTCCTTGTGATTTACAGGAGTTGGAGTTTACCAAACTCTCGTTTTAAGATCCAGCATCCTTGTCTGATCCTTTTCATCCACAATTCTCATCATCCTTTTTCAGCTCCATTTCCCTTCATTATTTCCCCTGCTCTCTTGTCCATTTTATTTACATCCTCCTCATTCCTATCCTCTCTTCTCTCTCCTTTAAATTGCATCACACTCATTTTCTTCCAGGAGATAATAACCCGTGCAAATCAGAGAACGTAATGCCTAGAGTTGTTCAAAATTTCTAAATCATTACCTAAGCTTTCAGGGAGACCTCCCTAGACTTCATTATGCTCAGATGGAGGAGAAAATGTACCATTAATAAGTCTTTTATTTTCGGTGTGTACAGTATATATAGGTGATAAAGATTCAGTTTAGATAGTTGCAAAGATTTAGCATCACTTGACATTTACTGTACAGCCATTTGAATACTAAAATAGTTATGAATGCCACACTTCTTAAGCAAATGACTTTCTAAAATGCTTTCTCTGTAATTAGTTCTATCAGCATTCCCTAAACGTAGCTCACCGTGAGTGGAACACATTAGGAAGAAGAAAAAAAGTTTAAGAAATTGTTGACTTGTTTCATATAGTCTTTTGGCCTGGTTTCTCATTTAGACTGTGCAGACAGACTGGGAGCTAGCTGGCTAATTGCCTTCATTTGTTAGTTTCACAGATAATTTAGCTTGCACCTAGTCTTTTCTAAAACTCCCCACAACCCCCCTCCTTTTCTTCCCGCCTCACTCGTAATTAAAGCGGGAGCTAAATTGAGCCACACCGCATGATTACAATTAAAGTGCTTGTGTTTCTGACCACATTTTGCAGACTTACAGCAGTCTCAGCTGGCTGGGGTGAAATTCATGTGCTACCCCTGCGGAGCTGCGGTCGCTCAGGGTATTACAGCTCAAACAGTCATTAGTAGCTGATATGTAGGACAGTCTGTAATATCTTCTTTAGTTGCTCCTCGGGTGTAATTTTCCTTCTTATCGCCGTCTCTTTTATCTGCTCCTTATTTATCTTTTCTCTCTCTCGCTTGCCCTCAATCATCTGAAGTTAAACAACGTTGAAGCCTGACGGGAGAGATTACCAATGAGACGGGAGCTGAAGAGCTGCAGTGTCTTTTATATATGTGTCCCAAATCTATGCTGTCCATGTTCACCACGTTTGGCTGACAGCAGTGGCTTTTTGATGGTTGTGTAGTTGCAACACTGTGGGCGATCCAAACAGCCGCCATACATCAATAGTTCCATATGTGACCAACTTAGTATTGAGAAAACTGTGATGGAGAGCTCAGGGAACGGTGCAAATATAATGTTGTTCTAGAACGTAAACCCATTGTATGATGTGACACAATGTATTTATTTTAGTCCATTCGGACGCCTCAGAGGAACAACCATTTACTGCCTTAAACCAAGGTCAAGATCAAGGTCAAAGTTCTTTATTGTCATTCGCATCGATGTGGTGTATGTGGTGGAACAAAAAAAACCAGACAGGTTGTTGAATTTGATACTTGGTTTTGATTAACATATATATATATTTAAATATGACCGATCCACACTTTCTGAAGGTTTCTCAAAGTTTTTCTTTAGATACTGTCTGCTTTAAAAAAAAAAAAAGAAAGAACAGACAAATCTTTAACTGGGATCAACTGAATGTTTACGTGTTTTCAGGTCTTATAATTATTTTCTTAGATGGTTATCACTTAGTTGTTTAATTTGCTGTAAATAAGGTTGATGGTTTTTTTTTCTGTCTAGTGTAATCAATTTTTGCAAAGTCACACTGCAAACAGTGCTGAGATATAAAATAATAAGCTTTTTTGGAACTTGTAAATTTAGCTGTTGGTGCAAAAACCTCTTTGATTTTGTGTCTGCACTATTTATTTTTGTTGTTGTTTTTGTCTGTTAATTGTTTTTGTAGGACTACTTAAAGCTATGTTGAATGCTCTTTTTTATTTTTATATTTACACTGTGGGACTTTCAGTGGAGTTTACCCTTTGGCTATCTTGAGTATATTTACATTTAAATACATTTTTATATTCATTAATGCACACTGGCCCCTTTCAAATAAATAAAAAACAAAAATCTTTGTTATGAGCTGCTATGAACAAAATTCTAACAGTAATACAAAAAAATAGTTTATTTGCTCATTGGCTCTTGTATATGACATCAGTATATCCATCCATCCATCCATTATCTTTACCCGTTTATTCCATTTTGGGTCACGGGGGTCGCTGGTGCCCATGTCCAGCAATCACTGTGCGAGGGGCGGGGTACACCCTAGACAGGTCTCCAGTCCATCACAGGGCCACATAGAGACAAACGAGACAAACAATCATTCAATTTAAAGTTACCAATCAGCCTAACATGCATGTTTTTGGTCTGTGGGAGGAAACCGGAGTACCCGGAGAAAACCCACGCATGCACGGAGAGAACATGCAAACTCCACCCAGAGGGCCCCGGACCGGGGTTTGAACCAAGGACCTGCTCGCTGAGAGGCAGCAGCTCTACCAGTTGCGCCACCGTGCTGCCATCAGTATATCCTTTGTCCTAAAATATAAATGCCACTTTATTGCTTCAACTTTGAAAGCTAGCAGACAGAAAAAATACCAGAACAAGTATGTTACATTAACTTGGATTTGATACTGATTTTGTCAAAGGACTGAGGCACTGTCAACAGAAAAATGTTTTTTGAGAAAATGCAGGACTTTTTTTTTTTTTTAACTTTTCCAGACAGAAACAACTTTTTAGGAGCTCAAAACAGCATTTTTAATCATGTTTTTTTTCTGTCAGCCAAAATACAACTTTCCAGTCCAGGCAGGGTGGAGAAAAGTTTCCGGTGTGATTTGTGACAACAGGGTGACAGCAAAGGTCAAAGCAGTGGTGGAACATCAGGACCAGCAAAGCCTTCTGGCCTAAACACAATCAGAATCACTAACTTATATTTTACTATATATTTCTATTATGGAATTGAATAAACACAACAAAACAGACTGGACTTACAGCGTTAGCTTTCATGGCAATAGAAAAGGACTTATTGTTGAAATGTCATGATGACTTGTAGGGACTGAATTCTTGAGGAAAAAAATGGAGGATGGCGTTTATGTAGGCAGCATGGTGGAGCAACTGGTAGAGCTGCTGCCTCTCAGCGAGCAGGTCCTTGGTTCAAACCCCGGTCCAGGGGCCTTTCTGGGTGGAGTTTGCATGTTCTCTCCGTGCATGTGTGGGTTTTCTCCGGGTGCTCTGGTTTCCTCCCACAGACCAAAAACATGCATCTTAGGCTGATTGGTAACTCTAAATTGTCCCTAGGTGTGAGTGAAAGAGTGAACGGTTGTCTCTATGTGGCCCTGTGATGGACTTGTGACCCATCCAGGGTGTACCCCGCCCCTCGCACAGTGATTGCTGGACATGGGCACCAGCGACCCCGTGACCCAAAATGGAATAAGCGGGTAAAGATAATGGATGGATGGATGGATGGATGGATGGTAAATATGCTCATGGTGCAGCTGTGGCTGCAGTTGAAGGGAACTTGTTGAATTGTGTTAAATGTGTTTCTTGCAATGACCTTCATTCTCACTACACAATGACAGTATAAAATTAGTATTAAAAGGTGGATCAATTCATGCGGGGCACCACTGAAGACCTAGATGTTAAGTGCATGGCCTTCCACTGGATCAAAGGAAAGCTTCACAAGACAGTGGTGAGACCAGCTATATTGTATGGTCTGGAGACAGAGACATGGAACAAAAGACAGTAGAAGGAACTGGAAGTAGCAGAAATGAAGATGTTGAGGTTCTCCTTAGGAGTGACAATGATGGATAAGCTTAGGATTGAGATCATCAGAGGTGCAGCACAGGTTGAAGGACTGGGAGATAAAGTTAGAGAGGCCAGACTGAGATGGTTTGGACATGTCCAGAGGAGGGACACTGGGTATATTGGTAGAAGGATGTTAAAAATGCAGCTGCAAGGAAAAAGACAAATAGAAGAAATAGAATAGAGGAAATAACTGAAAGGGAAAGATTTTCTGTTTTTGATGTATTTTGTGGCAACATTGCAATGCCACATACTGCCATGAAACCTTGTAAGTGGCATACAACATTTTGTATTGTTTTCTGTTTCTCTGTGCATGAAGATCTTTCTATAAAGGTGTTGCATTTTTGTGGATTAATTTAAAAACATCAACTTAAAAAGGTGATTTTGAAAAAAAAACACTTTCTTCTCATGAATAAGGCCTAATTTTAAATATAATGATGATCAAAAACTGCTATTTTTCGAAACTTTAATCACCTGAATCTACTACTGTTAAATAATGAGTTAAATAAACTAGAAACAAATGGTCTGCATTAACTGTATTGTTGTTCTATGCTATAATTAACGATTAATTAAACCAGTATATGCTAAAAATAATGTTGTGAAATTCACAAACAACATCTGTAAACTCATTATCATTAGTTTGAAAGAATGGTCAATAGCAACACAACACGTCCCTCTAATTAATGATGTATTGCTCCTTCGCTCTGTAGCCATTACTTTACCCCCTCCTTGATTAATTTCTATAGGTCTGTCAGAGCGTGTGCTCTTATAAAGATGTGCACTCTGCAAGTAGTTGCAGGAAGTTTAGGCGTGAACTTTCAGTGACTTCTGCTTTCTCCTCGTTTTCATTTTGGAGCACTGCTTCAAAGGGTACTGTGATCAAAGCTGTCTGAGAGGGAGCGTGGGGGAAAAGCAAAAGAGGGAGAGAGGGAGTGAGAGGGTGAGGGAGGCAGAGAGTGAACAGGGAAAACCCCAGCACTCCCGAATATAAGCAGAACGGCACCAACACGTCCATCTTTCCCTCCCT